GCAAAGGAGAAGGGCCGGCCTCAACGTCTGAGTCGGACATGGACGCGCCCCCACCCCTACGCCGCTTATGGCGCCGCATCATAGTAATTAGGAGCTCGAGCTCTGAGGCTCAACTTCTCCTCCACTCACACGTGACTTACCTATTTATAATACTGATAAATATATGTGAGATACGATTTCGGCTTATATCTAGGTGGACACAAATCTATCTAGTCGATTGTTCAATGTTCACAGGCACACGTCCGTAATCGACCGCAGCTCGAACCGGAATCAACTCCACCAGCGAGTTTGTTATACAAGTCACCTGGGTGTTAGATTTTAACTGCTATTTCCTAAAATGCGGGCACAACCCATGCATGGCACATTTTTTTAAGCGAAAGTCAGTTTACTACCATTACTTATTGAATGAGTTATTCGAAAGACCCAATGTGTTATTTTATTTTTATGCTGAATATTATTTCCGAATAAGAATCAGCCAATTATACTTTTTAACGGGAAGCCCATGAGCGATTATAACACTATGGCATGTATATAATTTTTGCATTTGATATATCAAAGCAGAATTTTTCTCAAATTTTAGCAATATGCGTTCTGATGGAACTGAATATTTATTTCAGGTTTAGTTTTGTTGCAGAGCAAGATTAGATGAGATTTTCACTGAGAGAAATGTAGAGGCCGTTGTATCTATAAGAAATAAATATATAAATATATGGCTAAAGACAAAGTAAATGAAAAGAAGATGATTCAACAATAAAACTGGATTGATCCGTGTTCGATTATCAAAAATTGCTTAGACCTTCCATCTTGCCCAGACCTTGCGGAAGGTATATAAGCCTCAAGAGCAACTCGGTCCTCCACTTGCTGCATTACGAGGGTCACGAGAAGGCTTACTTGTGAACGCGCGCTCACTTACTTATTCAAGACGTATTCTGCGTCTGTTACTTCATTGACTCAACTCGGACTTCTGCGTTTCAGTAATCATGGTAAGTGTGTATATATATACTTACATTAAATATTTGCTTCTTTCTCGAAACCATCATTTTATTAAGGTAATCCGATTTGATGACAACTTTCGTGCCTGACTCACAGTGTTGGCATGACTCGGTGAGCCGATGTCATTATCATATCTGACGCCTGAAGGAATGTATCCATTGATGACCTGATTATTAAATCAATAGACTCATCAAAAATTTTCAAAAGGTGTAAGAAACCGTGTTTATGTAATGGTGAAATTTTCGATCGTCAAATCACTCACCGAGACATTTTTTCTCGCGAGGAACTACCTATACCTCGTTATGATCTTCAATCACCGTTTCATGGGCAGCTGCAAGTTGCAAAAAATATTTATTTGTTGCACATGCTAGTGTATTATCTCACATAATTAGTTTATGAACATGAGTTTACATCATTTTCTTCTGTCAAACTTTTAAAAACCTATATTCGTGCAGGTAGAGGGCGGGATAAGAATACCGATTGTGTTTTGTCGTTTGCTTGGGATATTGATTGACTACCTGCCTAGGCGTCGTGGGAACAGGGCGCGGAGCTGCCCTTGAGCTCTGCATGCATACTTCAGCGCTCTAGATGTCACGAGTTTTTTTTTTACCTTTCTAAACGAAGTTACGAACCCACTGAATTAACACGAATAGGTAATCATTTTTTAGTTTTCTGACTTATTCTTGCAGGGTGAATTCTGTTTTATAAATATATACTGTAAATTTTGCCAACTATGTAGCCACAGTTTTAATTCAATTAACAATGAGCGTGTAAACGTAAATTACGTTATCATACGAGAGAATGACCACAATTTAGCTACTTTAGTCCCGAACTTCGTTCATGTAACGACTCTCTGACGAATGTTAGGCCTATCCAACACAGCAATGACTCTGTCCTTACTAAGGCTTCTTCCTCTCTGACGCATGCTGCTTCGGTTAACGATGTTTTGATGACGTTGCAAATAATGTATCTGGTGCTATGAGCTCCTGAAACTTAAACAATTAATGACCATCTCAAACTAAATTCACTGTGTCATTCTGGGAGTGGGACCTCTTGGAACGTTTCGAATTAGATGCAACTCGAAACAATTATTTAAAGATTTTCGATTTCCGTCATCATCACTTTTAAATTTATCACTGTTGTTTGTTTTACTAGGCAATAATTATAATTACTGCCACATTCGTCGCCACTGCGGTTGACCCACAGATCTTCTCTGAACGCAACAGAATTTGATTAATTTTTTAGTTATATAATTCTTTTTTTATGTTGGGCTGTTTGAATCCTGCAACAAAATGACACAATCCTTTCAAATATTTGAAGGATATTTTCATTCAATTTTTCGCATGATCTTGTTGCGATCATAGCTTCTGGCGACCGGGGAACATGATGGAGACTCGCGTGTTTTCAAATATCAATAAACTTTAGCGCGCAATATATTGCAAGAGGAACAATGGTCTGGATGATTAATATGTAAATTGAATTGTGATTACCACGTAGAGCAAATTATTTATAAATGAAAATAACCCGCCTGGTATACGGTGCATGGATTCAACATTCAGGGCAGAAGCTCGACAGGTAATATCGAGCGAACAAAAAGAGCTTCCAACGACTGAGTCACCATCAGACTTCAGTCACGCAAGCTTGCACAGCGCAGTTGCCAGATGTTGCCATCACTTGCTGAGTGCTTTAACCGGATGTGTTATAGCGGTACTAACGCTGGCTCGCTGCTTCGACGGCTGACAAATATATTTTTCGATGACCTCCTCCAACAGGAGTAATTTTAATATTTTTTTATATAAGATCAGTTAAAATAATAGGTTATAGCGCTCATATTTATTAACTTTGTCTGATTTCGGAAATACGTTAGCATTTGTGTCATGATTAAAGTAAACCGAAAATTTTTATTGAACGATTAAATTAATATATCTAATCGTTAATTGTGCTAAATCCATGTTTGCTTATAACCGTTTTACGCGAAATATGTGCCAGTAATTTGTTAAACGTAGAAAAGATTTCTTATAGAATACGAAACTACAAGCTATGTACATAATCGACTAGCATACCTATTCCTATGTATGTAATCTCTATACTATGACTGAAATTTCGGCGTGATGCCACCAGCCCGTTTACCTGCATTTTACAAGCACATCGTCTATCCCGAAATGTCTAACGTTCGTTTTTCTTCATTGGCTTTCCCTAGTAACAATCCTCAATTGGGAAGGTAAATTAGAAGTTGTTCACGGGAGACTTTCTAAATGCAAGTGAGCTGTTGAACCTGCGAGGGTGGGGGAGGGGGGTAATTACAGTAAGGATGACGTCATCAGAGGCCTGTGCGGGGGTGCAGTCCTTACCTCCTCCCCGTGTGGAGCATTCAGGAATGCGCAGGTGCGGGGTGCGGGGACTGCTGGAAAGATGAATTTTAGTTTATTTTCTAAAATATTTTCTAAATATCATTTCCCTTTAAATATGCGGGCCGTGTTGCATGGTGCATTCTCTTTCTCTTAAGTTTGACATCAGTCCAATGTTTCTCAATTCTTTCCCTTGTTTTATATACGCTTTTGCTACAGAATCGAATTGACGCTTTGTGCCTGTGTGACTTCACCGTTGAAAAATCCGAGTGCAAATTCATTCTAAAATCATAATATCGTTACTTTTCCTATGTATCAATATATGTTTATATCATACTAAATATTCACGAAAAAAGGCTATACGAGCGTACTATGCATCGGTGACTTCAACGTCGTACCTTCGATGTCAACGTCCTGCCGTCGCTTGGCTGTTATTCCTTGAGTCTTCGACTCCAGCTGTTTTGCGGTCATCTGCGTTCCGCGAAAATTCCCGTCTGCTTACTGAACAATAACTCTTCGTACTCTGCTGAGGAAATAGCAACATATGTTGCGAAGGAACCTACGTGCAACCACACTCTTTTTAGACAGATACAATTTCTGAGGAGATCCAAACGGTGAAGGAAAATTTACCGGAAATTTGAATTGGTTTAGGATTCATTAATCGCATGAGCGTCTCTCTGATCGGCTCATTTTCTGAGTTCATATGCTAGGAATTTCGATATCGTTTATAATTCATCCCTGCTTGATTTGATTAAAATGTAACTGAAGCAGCAACTAACATTAATTAATTTTTTTGTAATACGACTCGCAGTTGCAGCGCCTGGTATCAACTGACGTTAAAAATTACGCATTTACTGCAAGAAATGCAATTAATGCCAGTTTGGGCGGCCTACTCGTAAATCGAGCATAATCATTTTGGCTCTATGTTGAAAATATATTCATGTACGACAACAAGTTTTCTGCACACAAAAAAGATATAAGGAGAACATTAGTCAGAGTGAGGAGTGGAAGTCGCTAATATTACATACGGTGCCGACTGTTCTGCCTCACAGTGCCATTCACTTGCGAGCGGAAAAATACATCGCGTTTATAGTGATCGTGTTGAGAATTTGCAACAGGGGTTAACATTAGACAGACCATAAATTACTGATAATTGAATATTTTCGCTAAATGTTTTGACATTACGTCTCTCCAGACCTCTGCTTCGAGCATTTATTTCTTACGAGTCCTTTTTAAATTTCAGTGGAAACTGAGCAGTTCATAGCATCTCATTCTTTCACAGAGAATTCCCAACCTAGAGTTTCTATGCCACTTAAATTAATAGGATCTGACTCTGCTACCGGAATACCAGAATAATTTTAAAGCTAGAAATAATAACTTTTCTATGAAGAAAACGAGGAAATACGACATGGTGTCTTCCATAACAAACCCTATCATCATGAAGCAAATCAAGACTAATTATCCAAAAAACTGCAGCGGAGCTCTAACTACGTCGATATAAATTCACGAGAAACGAGAGTCGTGCCCGACCACCGTCAAAGAGACAAGTAACATTGCAGGGATGAGATTAGACTGATAGTGACGAGTTCAGCAGACTAATAACGGGTTAGGATGATGTCCCGCCAAGCCCACAAAACATGTAAGCGCTGCTACGCCCCGATACCAAGAGTAAGTTATCGCCGTGCGTAGCGAAGAAGACGGATTAATAACCTTTTCTTCTTTGAAAAAGCAGGTTCCCAAGTCAAATCCTGATATGGAAGTAAGAAAGTTTGTCATGACAGGTTGAAGTCATATTATAGGTGAAATGCAGAACTAAACTCGCAAATTTTTTATTAACGCAGCGAAAGTCAATTTGTTACCATCTTCAAACCTTAACAAGTAAAGTAATCTTGATAGTTTTTCTTGTAAGCGTGGTGTTAGATTTCGCTGTCAAATATGATTTCAATTTTTTGTGAAAATTTGGAGAACCTTTTCAGTTGTTCCTCCCATAAACATGTTCAATATGTTCATTCGATACCGATTCGAATTTTCGTTCAAAAAACTCATCTTTTCGTTAGCTCTGTAAGTGAAATTGCCTCCAGACAAGCTACAGTATTTCGTAGTTGAGAAGTTATCTTGAATTCGGATCGACACAAACTATCCAGATCAACACATTAACGAAACCCAGCTTTAACATGTATAAACGCTTGTCAGTCACTGTTTTGCCATGACTTTTGATATCTTCAATAGGCCTAGCCTTAATATTATTTTAATAATTTTTTAGCTCCCACAAGTACATTTTATTATATCCGTTTTGAAACATTCATTAAACTATCATACGATGGTAATACGCTTTACTGACATTCGATTTCGTAATAATAAATGGGGCACTTGCTTTAAAGCTCATTAAATTAAATCCAGCTTTATTCCCAATAGTTGGCCTACAGTTGTTGCATAACTAAAAAGAAACATTGTAGATTTCAATCATGTCTTCCCTAAATTTGAGTGAACTTCTCGAATCTCCCTAATAACTGTGTTCTTTTTCAGCGTGAATGCATCTCGATCCACGTTGGCCAGGCTGGAGTGCAGATGGGCAATGCCTGCTGGGAGCTGTACTGCCTCGAGCACGGCATCCAGCCCGATGGCCAGATGCCCTCTGACAAAACCATCGGTGGAGGCGATGATTCCTTCAACACTTTCTTCTTCGAGACTGGCACGGGAAAACACGTGCCCCGAGCCATCTTCGTTGACCTGGAACCGTCTGTTATAGGTGGCTTTATGATCCATTCTTATTTTGATTGTTACTGTCTTTCAAGTTAACCGGAATTCGCTTGAAATTGATAACTTCAGAGGTGCCGCTGAATTTTACGCGATATCATATGTTTGACAGAGATAGAGAGAGAGTAAATAATTCAATTAAAGACAGAAAATAAGGATGGATGGAAAATAAGGATGAAAGAGTTTTGAATATTGATTTGAGTACTTTGACCGATTCGTCATTTATTTTACAGATGAGGTCCGGACTGGAGTCTACCGACAACTTTTCCATCCAGAACAATTGATCACTGGGAAAGAAGATGCTGCTAACAACTATGCACGAGGTCACTATACCATCGGGAAGGAAATCGTTGAAATTGTTTTAGATCGCATTCGTAAAACCGCCGACAACTGCACTGGCCTTCAAGGTTTCTTGGTCTTTCACTCGTTTGGTGGCGGCACTGGTTCCGGTTTCACTTCCCTCTTGATGGAGAGGCTTTCGGTCGACTACGGCAAGAAAAGCAAACTTGAATTTGCCATCTACCCTGCCCCTCAAGTCGCCACTGCCGTCGTCGAACCTTACAACTCGATCCTGACCACACACACTACTCTGGAACATTCTGACTGCGCCTTCATGGTTGACAACGAAGCAATTTACGATATTTGCCGCCGTAACCTCGATATCGAGCGACCCACTTATACTAATCTGAATCGCATGATCGGTCAGATCGTCTCGTCCATTACCGCTTCCTTGAGGTTCGATGGCGCCCTCAACGTCGACCTGACTGAGTTCCAAACGAACTTGGTCCCTTACCCGCGTATTCACTTCCCATTGGTGACATACGCGCCAGTCATCTCTGCCGAGAAAGCCTACCACGAGCAGATTTCAGTGGCCGAGATCACAAACGCTTGTTTTGAGCCCGCCAACCAGATGGTGAAGTGCGACCCGCGTCATGGAAAGTACATGGCGTGTTGCCTGCTTTTCCGAGGTGACGTCGTGCCCAAGGATGTCAACGCTGCCATCGCTACCATCAAGACCAAGCGGAGCATCCAGTTTGTGGACTGGTGCCCCACGGGCTTCAAGGTGGGCATCAACTACCAGCCACCCACCGTAGTTCCTGGCGGTGACCTGGCTAAGGTGTCTCGTGCCGTGTGCATGCTTAGCAACACCACGGCCATCGCTGAAGCCTGGGCTCGTCTGGACCACAAGTTCGACCTGATGTACGCCAAGCGCGCCTTCGTGCACTGGTACGTGGGCGAGGGCATGGAGGAGGGCGAGTTCACCGAGGCCAGGGAGGACTTGGCCGCCCTCGAGAAGGACTACGAGGAGGTCGGCGTCGACTCCGCTGAGGATATCATTGGAGAAGGAGAAGAGTATTAATTGACTCATAAATCCTACCACCGGCGTCATGGTATTTTTACCTGCATATCACGAGCATTAAAACATATCACCTGATCCATTTGTTTCTACTCCCCTCCAGTTTTTACCATTTATATTTTCTCGCAATAATTATGTATTAGTCAAGGGACGGATGAACGGCTGTGACAAATGCGGCTCTCAAGTAAAAAAGTCCAATACCAAAAAAGTCTTAAATCAAGTTTTTGGACTTAATTAAAAGTCCAAAAAGCCTAATAACAAACCAAAAACTTGATTGAGAGAGATATATACGTATAGAGTCAATGTCGCAACAAGTAAAGTTACTAAGAATTGAAAAAAACGCTATGTAGATTCACCTGCTCTTTATTAAAAACATTTCGGAAACCAGCTCTAGTATCAGTTTAAACACTTTTATATAAAGCAATTACAATCAGCTGTGAGATTCAAAATGTACACGAAAAAGATTAAAATTTTCTGATATGCCTTTCATTCGCCGAAAAATTGATCATCTTTTTTTACTATCGATTTTAGTTTTCAGATGAAATTCCATGAATTATTATTGCCCAGATTCATTTTCGATATGAATTCTAATCGATCAACAAGAAATTTTAATTTAAAAAATGTATACGTTAAATTCCTACCTCCCTTAAACATCAAAAGACACAAAACGAAAGGCTCTTAGAAAACAATTGGCTGGAATATATAACTGGAACGACAACTGTTACTGCAGTACATGGTTCCCAGACATAGGGCATGTCACAAAATTTGAGGTTGCGGTGGAGACTTAATTGCTAGTTAGGTGAGGCAATCAGGAAGAATGTTCAAATAGCATGCCTACTTTATTTACGCCTTGGCAGAAATCTGGCTGGGATGAGCTTTGACATCACAAGTCTTTACCAAAATAATAAAAAATAATCACTTATTTACTGTCCTTTATTTATCCTAGGACAACTGTTGAAATCTATCAACAATCTAGATATGCTGGCTGCATGTTTTCCCTGCATTTATATACTCGTAATAGTGTTCGAATCCAGGCTGCATTCCTCTCGCTGGATACAATCTATGCCAAAGACATATGCAAAATATGAGACTTTCTTCTAAGTTACTAAATTGGACGTCAATTATTTGATATTTCTTTTCTTCTTGACTAATTGTTGGTGGTCAAGTGACGCTTGACGCGCCGCGTCAACTTCACAAGCAACGATTCAGAAAAGCGTCACGGCGCAAGACACGCGTTAACCATTGGCACCAAGAATTCTCTACCGTAGATGGTTCTGATGGAAGGAGTCTGAAAAAAATACGGTGCTTGAGGTTGCGTCTTCGTTCATTCCCATCAAGAATCAGTGCAACGATAATGTGATGAACGGCCAGTTTCTAATTATTTTAGGTATAATTATAATCATAAGAATTATTTATACTTAGAAGCGAATTGCAGAATGCAGTATCCTGAATTATATGCAATTATGGTCTGTGGATCCACGTTAAAACCTTTACTAGAGTTCGGTCGAGGACAAACCTTTGTGAAAGTATTTTTTGTATGCTGGCTACAATTATAATACGCACAAATTTTTCCCCTGCTAGGAGCAAATTTAATTAAATGACATCTGACTTTAAGAGACGCTGTAGCTTTCACGTTACAAGCTGAGTAGATTTAAAATAATGGGAGTGCAGCCGTGGGTAACAAAATTGACTCGTAAACAGGCCCTGGGCCCAACGCCAACCATCAGTATGCAATATCTACACATAGCCTCAGATCAATGAGCTGTGGGTAACTCCGGCTAACAGTAAATCCGCTTTGAACAACACAGCCACTGCTTCACAGATAAGAGGGAAGTGAAACCGGAACCAGTGCCGCCACCGAACGAATGGAAGATAAGGAAACCTTGAAGACCAGTGCAGTTGTCGGCGGTTTTACGAATACGATCAAGGACAATATCGACGATTTCCTTGCCGATGGTGTAGTGGCCTCGTGCGTAGTTGTTAGCAGCATCCTCTTTGCCAGTGATGAGTTGCTCGGGGTGGAACATCTGACGGTAAACACCGGTACGAACCTCGTCTGTGCAAAAGGAGATAACCGAAAATTATTGACAGGACAACGGCCATTTTTGTCGGATAACCTTTAACACAGCATGGGGAATCAACGTAAGACACGACGGCACAGAGCATCATTTATGCACGGCTTTAAACAGCCGCCGGCCTAAGCAGGAACTTTAATTTCACTTGTTAAAACTAAACCAATTGCTGCATTTGTAGTTACTACAGCGTGCGTCGACCATTACGTTCTAGTAAGCTAGACTACTTCACAATTTCGATGCAGCAAATTTAATAGTTAACCATGTCAATTTATTCCAATAGCTTAATGATATCGCATATAAGACAGTATAATAATGAACAACTGTATAGTCATTATGACGTCAACTGTATCGTTATCACAATGACGCCAACTGTAACTTTGTAACTTACCTATTACAGAAGGCTCGAGATCAACGAAGACAGCCCTCGGAACGTGCTTGCCAGAGCCAGTTTCCGAGAAGAAAGTGTTGAAGGAATCATCGCCTCCACCGATGGTTTTGTCAGAGGGCATCTGGCCATCGGGCTGGATGCCGTGCTCGAGACAGTACAGCTCCCAGCAGGCATTGCCCATCTGCACTCCAGCCTGGCCAACGTGGATCGAGATGCACTCACGCTGAAAAAGAACACGATATGTTAG